CCAAGAGACACCCTCGAACGACCATCAAAACATGCTGAAAAAAGGGCGAACCCCTTAGACAGTATATCCTCACGGTCATGAGAAGAAAATGGGTCTTGCACACAACAAACATTCACCCCGAGGCGCTGAAGGTCACGAGAGAGCCTCGCCCTCGTAGAACTGGACCTCAGGCCCCGCACATTTAACGAAGCTAACCAGAGAGACATGAGAAGTCCGATTAGGGTTGCTTACCAGCATTAAACATGGCGGGGTAGGATACCGACCGCGTCTCCCATAGACCCATGGCCCATCTCATTCTTGATGGTGCCGTCTTGGGAGATACCGCCCCGATATCCCAGGGAAGGTCAATTTAAGAGCTCTATACAGGGATGGGTGAACTAAAACGGGACCCTCCCTGCACAGAACTGTTGTAACTTTTTAATTTGTCGTTTTTGACTATGGCGATGGGCAAAGCCATCTTACAGGCATTTACAGCTTCCTCCACCATCGCCCAAGTCTGATTGGCTGCAGGTCCTGACCTAATAACTGTCAGGACCCTCTGGGCATTTGGGAAGTTTTTTCGGCTCCTCGATATCAAGGTCGGCAAACTGTTTGATAGAAAGCAGGAACTTCAAGTCTTTCACCCTGTTACTATAATCCCGGCTCTTTTCGGCCTGGGCAGGGAAATAATGCATACCTCCTCTCCTGTGTTGAAAATAAATCTTTTCTTTCTATCTTTTTTTTCTTCTTTTTGTGTTGGGCTTCTTTGCCGCTTGGGAGCAGGAGGAGGCATCTCGGCATTTTTTGCCGGTGATTGCTTGGGGGTATGAAGGGGGGTGGGTTTTTGTTTAACGGGGAAGGAGGGGGTGTTCATGGGGGTATAAAACGATCTATGCCTATAGGGGCTGGGATCCCTACTGGAGGGTTTGGCCTTAGATGGTGAAATAGCAGGCGATGAAGGGGGTTGTTTCTTCGGAGAAGGGGCGGGTCTACTAGAGGACGTAGAAGGATTGGGTCTTTTCTTTCTGAATCCAACCTCTTTTTAATTCTTTGAGTTTTTCAGATTTTTTCATAACCGGGGTCTAATCTCTTTTGCTTTTCTTGAAAAGTTTCTTCCGAGGCAGGGCATCGCCTTAACGTTGTTAGAGGGAGTGGGACTGTATGTGCCTTTCTTCCTAGGGGGCTTCAGGGGACTGAGGACCCGCTGTCCGCGCTTCCTCTGGCCTTACCAGCAACCAGCCATTCCCCTCCCCCTTCTCCACAACTGCACCGGCAGCGGCGAAGGCTCTTTGGGAATGTGGCTTTCGATGTTGCGCCGACCGAGGATTAACCGACCCGGTCCCGGAGGCTGGTACGCCCATTACAGGCGAGGCGGAATTTAGAGACGCGGTCAGAGGGGGGGGATCTTGAGTAACTGGCGCTTGACTTCCAGAGGCCTTCTTCTCTGGGCAGGAGGAGGAGAGATGACCAGTCACTCCACACCTCCAGCATACCGGTCTTCAACCCGGCCACAATGACCGGTAATTTCAAGACGCCAACATCCAGACAGTTGGGGATGGAGCGGAAGGCCTTCTCGTCCAACATGATATCAAAGCTCCACCCCCCTCTCAGGCTATCACAGGAAGCTCCCAGAATTTCGCCATACTGAGAGAAGAACGCCGCGAGATGTTCCCCCGATAACCTGAGGAGGGACCTCGTATACCGTTACCCTGGTCTTATCTCGGCCTTCGTACTCTGTACGCAGTATTATCTCTTTGTTGATAAGCTCACGGCTAGCAGCGGCGACGCAATCTTCTGATGTGGGCAACAGTACGTCCCACATGAAAAATTTAGCACCCTTTAACTATTCTAAGGGGCTTGAACCCGAAAGGATTCCAATGCTTTTAACACTGTGTTTTTCGTCGAGCGACAAATTTTGCGCGTACGCTTGTCCACGACGAAAACCGACACTATTCTTTTGTCAATTTTTTTCAATTCTTGGGGTCTTCCAAAAGTCCACCATCTACAACAAGGTGTGCGAAACTTTTGGCACGCTCCAAGAACTCCGCTAAATTGATAATGCACTTAGGAGGGGACGACCAACAAGAGGGCGATTCCCCCCGCCTCAGGCTCAGTTTATGGTTTTTTCTGGAATCTGTACTTTTTCTTTAATTTGGCCATTATTGGCCTCCATAGGTGAGTCCTTTTCATTATTGCCATTTTCGGCTTCCGTAGAAATATTAATATTTTTTTTTTTTTCATTTTCTTTTTCCCCAGCAGCATCAATGTTGCTAGGGAAGTAGTTTCAAGCAGGAAATTCCTCTAAGTTATCTTTGTCCGGGGATCTTTCTTAGTTGGATTAAAAAGGTGTTTATGATAGCCTTTTTTAGGCTTTTTTTTTATGGCCAAAAAGGAGGGTGGCTTTTTTTCCTTTTTCTTCTCCATAATTAAATAATAAGGAAGGGGAGGGGTAAATACGGGTGGGGAAACCGCCTTGTAGGCGGAGGGAGGGAGAAAAACAAATAAAAGGGGAGGGTAAAAGGGTTTGCTTAACAACAATTTAAACAGACAATAATACAGAAGGACGTGTGCAAAAAAAATATAACCACAAATGTAAACAGGTAAAACAAATGGACAGACGAGAAAATGTGAACAAGGTTCACAAAACGAAGAAAGAACTTAATTACAAGTACAACAGACAAGCAAGCTACAAATTAAAAAACTAATAAATATAAACGGAGAAAAAAAAAAAAACGCATACGTTTAAAACAAAAAAAAAGTACAAATTACAAAAATGGCTGCCGCTAAAAACCGGTCAACCCAATAACGTTAAAAAAAAAGGAGGACAGAAATTACAAACAAATATTATAAACACGTAGACTTTTTTTTTTTTTTTTAAGCGGGTAACACAGAAATAATTAACACGTAAAAAATAAAAAAATTAAAACGAAAAACGAAAAAATAAACAGAAAAACTCCGGGATGTGGGTACTGAAAAAAAGACTTAACACGGAAAAAAAAAAAACAGAAATAATTAATAACAAAAGAAGTAACGGTTAAAAAAGGGAAAGGAAATGAAAAGGAAAAAACAAAGGGTCAAAATAAGAAAGTTCAAAAAATGACAAGTTTTAACAAAAGAGTCAAAAAAAAATTCACGTTAAAAAAAAGGTGTATAATTAAATCAAAAAAAACTTAACTAAATTAAGGCAGTCTGAAAAGTTGAAAAATAGTCCTTTGGTAGACAGCAAATATGTCTAGCACCGGTCAGGAGAAGAAACGTTAAACGCTTAATCTCTACTATCTTCCCGTCTTCCGGTACCAACCCATATTTATATGGTCGGTAGTCCGCTTATGTAAATTAGGTGTATCATACACAACACTTATTGAATACAGTAAAAAAAATTGCATATTTTGCTTGTGGTGATTCATAATTAGAATTCTGATTTGAATATATTTTCCACTCGTTGTTTCTAATACAAAAAATATTAACTTTATTTGAGTTTATTAATTTATTACAAGTACTGTTTTCTTTCCTTAATAATTATCATCTTCGAAATATTGTTGTTTTTTGTCTGTCAGATTTCTTACGTCGGCATTTTTAAATTATTTCTTAATACTTTCTTTTAAATATTGAATTTTCAAATAGAACCAATGCCTTATTGATCTGCCTTGTAACAAATTGCAAAGGGAATTGTAAAAACAGCCCTGAAGTACGTGGAATTATCTTTCCCTAAAGATAAAGAATTATCCGATTTTTCGATTAGTACAATCAGTAGAGATCGTTAGATTATTGTTTAGGTTGACGGACACGCATGTCTTAGTTTTTTTTTTTTTTTTTTTTTTTTTTTTTTTTTTTATTGGTCAAACTCAAACTCTAACAAAAACATTGTTTTCAATCGTTATGATGAGTCCCACGATTGAATAGAATTAGAATTTTATTATAAACAATTGTCTTGTAAATGGAATTTTTAAAGCATTCTGAATGTATAAATAAAGAAAAAAAGTGTGCAAGACAATAAGAAACACTACCTGCCAAAAAAGAAAGTGGATGTTTGTTTTATCGGCTGAAAAATGTAAGAAATCCGATCCCATATATAAAGGGACACACACACACACACACACACACACACACACAACCTGGTTTTTTTTTTTAACCCGATCTGAGTTGTCCCCCTTTCATTCTCACGATGTGTCTTAATCGTGTTTTCAAATTGATTTTCTTAAAAAACAATTGTTTTTCCCATTTTCGGTGCTGTTAGAACCACCACAAGGTAATTTTATGTAGTCCTGTGAAGTTTTTGTTGAAATCGGCTAAAAAATGTAGGAAATCCGATCCAATATATAAACGTTACACACACACACACACACACACACAATCTGCGTTTTATAATAAGCAAGATATATATATATATATATATATATATATATATATATATATATATATAATCATGCACTGAAATATGAGCTTCCCTGCTTCCCTTTTTGGAGTTTATCTGTTTTATATTTTGCTCCTTTGTCCGCAGTAAATAAAATTAATAACTAAATGATTTCAAAGACTATTTTAATCTGGGAAGTTCAATCAAAAATATTTTGTCATAGCTAATTTGAGAAATAATTTTTAATTTATCTGATTATACTTATCAGTTGTTTTCTTTCACTTTATTTGACTAAAATGCCTGAACTTATCAGCAACCATTAAGAGATCTCTCATCCAAAAATATTCATTCAAATATTATGTCACTAAGATTTAAAAAACAATTAATTTTAGATATCTTTTGGATATTTTCCTTTGACAAAAATGGTCATCATTTACTCTTACATATATTTTTTCTGCAATTCATGACAGACTAAAGCTATCTTCATATTAAATATAAATTTGCACACAAATTTATTTAGAAAAATAACTTACAATAAATAAGTTAGTCTAGAAAGAAAAATGGTGAGATATTATGTATTGGTTGTGTAACAGTCATGCATTTGAAAAAGCAGACTAATCAGATAAGATTTATCAATATTTAAGATTATTTTTTTTTTCTCTTTCAGAGTTTGGATTATGATACAATGGAAAATTCCATTTACCATAAAGAACTTTTATCAAGAACAAACTTGGTGAATAAACATTTCTTTCTTAGTCATATTTTCTTGGCAGGTTTTTCTTCATATTCAGAGTAGTGGTGATGACATGTGAAAGATTTGTCTTTGACTGGGATCAGTGCTCCTTGGACTGAAACAGATTTAAAGGACACTAGGAGAATTTATTTATTTTAATTCTTTTTATATATATTAAATTTTATTTAATTTTTGAATTTCTAAAACTGTGTTTATTTTGATTCTTCTTCTGTCAGAAGTAGAACCTTTGTTTTCATTATTTTCATTTTTTTGTTTGTTTTTGGTCTGTAAGCCTCAATGTCAGAAATATCCAATGAACCAATACAGTTAAGTGACTAATGACAAAATTCACTTGAAGGCCAGGAAACATTCTCTGAGAAATGTCAAGAAAATAGTAATTTCATTAAAAAATCTGTCTAAAATTTTCAGATACAAAGGAAACTTGTTTAATTCTAAGAATTTATTCATTCACTTACACTATGATATTCCATTTTGTCTCCAAGCTAAATTTAAGCAGTGAAAAAAAATTCACATTTATTCATTTTACTGCTGAAAATTTTACCTTTTGTCAAATTTGAATTTGTCTGAAGAATTTGAACCAAAAATTAGGTTATTGAATATGAGAGACACTTACAGAAGCTGCTGAAGAGTACAACAGATGAAATATTGCAAGTATAACAACCAAGATGAGCATACAAATCTAAATGGAAAAGCATATAATAAAGATGATTTCTACAATTTCCAACAAATTAATAAAATATCCATCTTATATTTGGTTGGTCTGTCTGGAAAGAGTTTGTGAATTCTCATTTTGATTTGTGTACTTTTTTTCATTTAAATAACAAAAATCAAAATTATCTTGTTGCCTTTAGATAAGAAATTTTATACAAATGATAATATTTGAATAGTGAAAAAAAAAAAAAAAAAAAAATGACCTGTCATATAATAGCTTTTATGTTTAATGTATGAAATTTGTATTCAAATATAACAGCTGTTATAGGACATAGGTAGTACCTCAGTAATTCTGGTTTCAAGTGTCACATTTCTATTTTAAAATTTTTCTTTACCAGTTACCATATTTCCTGCCAATAAAGACTAATTATTCAGTTGAATGTTTAAAGAAAAAAAAATTCTCAAAAAAAATCACCCTCTTCCTTCTACTCTAATGGTGGGGGTTATCAGTAGTAGACTAACCCCTGTTTGACACACTTGTCTCCTGATAACCCCCAGAATGAAATATATTTTGCTATAAAATCAAAATGTTAAAATATCAAGTCGATATGGAAGTATTGATGAATCCTCAGTTGAATATTATTTTGTTTTTTTTCAAAATAATGCTTGCCAATTTATAATTCATGCAAAATGAGCAAATCACTTTTCTTTTTTTTTTTTTACTATGTTTGTCAACCTATAAAGCATATATTCTCCACATCACATCCCTAAAAATCAAAAAAATATTGCACAGTGTGCTGATCTTTACAAAGGAAAAGCACAAGTGAATCATAAGTTGTGGATCAGATGGCATTGCTGTGAGTACTGGTTTCAATAAAAAAAAATGTATCTCCTGCTTGAAAACAAGGCTGGCAAATATAGGAATTGTGATGAAAGCAATCATAAAAAATTCACTTGTCATGCACTAAGCAATCATTTCCTTATGAATTTTTCAGATACTAACAAACTTGTAAAATACTAAGTAATAATTTCTATAATTAGAAATTGGTCTTTAATTTCTCTTCCCTATGTGGTAAGCAGAGTAGCAATGTAAATTGTTCAGATTGTCTGAAAACTTCCAAAAGAGGTAAGAGAAAATGTTAGAAATTAACACATTGACTGCCAACCATGAGATAAACCTTGTAGTCGGTATCATAATAAAAAAATGCAAACTATATGTTATTTCATGCCAAGCTATGTGTTCTCATGTTTGGCATTTTCTGATATATATTCATCTGCGGGTGCCAACAACGAGTTAATTGGCAGTGATACTTTTAGTGAAAAAACAATGTTACGACTTCAGTTGAAGCTATAAAGAGACATATTTAATATTTAACTCCTTAAAAAAAAAAAAATCACTCTTTATTAGGAGAAGAAAACACCAATGAAGAAATGTAAAAATATATCCAACATTAAAAGTTGAAATAACTCATGTGAATAGAAATATTTTAGTTTGAATTTCCCTTAGTCAACATTCTTCCAATAATCAAGGCAATATCGAGAATACAGTTACATTATAAATAACATCATTAAATATTTCCAAACATTTGAACTTACAAATACCAGGAACCTATCCTATTCATTAATAGGTAAGCTTTTGTACTGACTGAAGAATCTATTAAATTTATTAGTATTTGTTCTTGCTTGAAACTTCTCCATTTTATGTTTAATAAGTTTAAAATTAATATTCTTAACTTTTAATGTATTTGTCAATTGAAAACAACTTTTTGTCTCTCTGTAGCGGAATATATATGTTTGTATGGTTCGTTGGTTTATTATGTTCCTGATTGGTGCCATTACTGGACTGATTGCCTGCCTTATAGATTTTGGAGTATCAAAAGCTTCTGGATTAAAATTCACATTCATCAAAAAACGTATCCTTTTCTTTGTCCTGTTATTTCAATACCAGAACATAACTTGGTCAGGTAGGCTGTGTCACTTATTTCCAGTTGGCATTAAAATAACTTTTTTTTTTTTTTTTTTTTTTTTTTTTACTTCTACATTTCATAGTTTTATAAAGGGGCTTTTTTCAAAAGCAGGTATCTGCTATAATAATGTTTAAAGTTTAGACCAACTATGAAATCCAACGAAACATAACGTTGAGTAAACTCTAGCATATGTCTCAACATACAACAAGAACAATCCAGAACTATTTACAGAAATTACAAAAATTCTAGACCTACTTAGCAAGAATGACAAACTGAATAATATACTAAAAACAACCAAAATAATTAAAAGCAAACGCCAATCTAAAAACTTGAAACACATATTAACCTCTTCCAAATTTAACCAACACAATACAGAGTGTCACAAAATGCAACAAAAAAAAGATGTGGGGTTTGTGACATCATTATAGAAGGAAACTCCTACACTTTTGAAAACCCCAAAACGACATTCATAATAGATAAAAATTTAAACTGCAACTCCAAAAATGTAATTTATGCACTCAAATGCACAAAATGCAAGGTCATATATAGGTATCAGCAAACAGTTTTCCTTCACAAAAGCAATATCAAATTACCAGACAACAAAACTCTTTGTATCACAACACCTCTATAAATGTAACCAGGGTGAATTCAAAATTATGCCAGTATACCAAATAGACAATTATTCTTACCTACAAATGCAATAGTAAAAATATATATATATATATATATATATATATATATATATATATATTATATTTATATAAGCAAATATATGGATATAGATCCAACAGTATGAAGAAAAATACAGAAAAAAACAAACAAAAATCTTAATATGCAATTATGCTGTATTAATATTAATATAAAGTCGACGTCGGACGTTTCGGTCTATTTAAGACCATCTTCATGGACATTTTCATTTAAACATAATTAACATTAGAACATATAAAAATTTAATACAAAAGACGATGGACATAAGAGCACAACTAATCCAAACAGATAACTGAAGTTTTTATATAAGATCAGCGTTCCGTTTAAATATGATCACGTCGTCGTCACATGGGCGATGTTGTGAAAATGTATTCGAAGATGATTTCCAAATATTAAAAAAGTCGATTGAACTATTTTATATAAACAGTTCAAGAAATCCCTTCCATTGATATAGGAATATGCAGAGATCAATAGGTTCTTATATCTTCATACAAGCTTGAAGTCCTCCACGTTACAAAGCAAATCAAAAATGATTTAAAAAACGATGGAACAATTTTAAAAAACAGTTCGATAATAAATCCTTTCCTTACTTGATCAATAGATTCTTATATTTTCTTACAAGCTTGAAGTCTTCCATGTTATAAAGTAAATTCAGGTTTGTATTTCCAGTAGACAGTATGTAAGCAAATATATGGATATAGATCCGACAGTATGAAGAAAAATACAGAAAAAAATACTGTCTACTCAAGCTCTTAAAATTTGCTCAAATTCCTTCCTCTACGGTGAATTGGACTTTATAAAAATGACTTTCTAAAAAATGGGTATCCGTTGGACATTTTGGATTCCATTATGCATGATGTCATTGATAAATTTAGTAAGGATAGACCGTATGTTGTTAAATGTCCAATTTATTTATGACTTCCTTACATTGGCAGAGAAGGTGAAAAACTAGCAAGGCGAATTTCACATTCCATTAGTAAGTGTTTTTATGCTGCTAATGTGAGAGTAATATTTTTTACTCGACCAATTCTTTCTTCCAGACGCAAGGATTTTCTGCCTCCCTTTCATATTAATTCAGTTATATATAAATTTAAATGTGGTTGCGGATGTGACTACATAGGCAGAACGTCTCGGCGTTTGGCTTTTAGAATTAAACAACATTTACCCCCCAGAATTTTAAATCCAGCCGCTAACAAAAGCCAACTAGTGAATACATCCGGGTCATCTATAGCGGAACACGCTATAACTAGCAGGGAATGTGTTGCTGGTTTGGGTGTTGACTGTTTTTCCTTTCTGGCGAAGTCACACTCTGCATATCATTTGAAGGTTCTTGAGTCCATTTACATCAAGTCCTGCAGGCCGTTTCTCTGTAAGCAGAGAGATTGCTTGTTGGGCTTGAATGTGATTGAGCTCTAGTTCTTTCTATCATATATAAAAAATTTTTTTTTTTTTTTCCCTTTCCCCCTCATTGAATGTTTTTTTTTGTTTATGATTAAATAATCCCAGTGTATCAAACTTGAGGAGTACTGGGACAAAACCGGTTGTTTGTTTTAGTTCTTAGTTTTCATAATTATGTCCTTTACATTCCGCTTATTCCTTGCCATATATATATATATATATATATATATATATATATATATATATATAAGGAAAGCTTACATCAATAAATAGGCTTGATAAAACTAGGCATATTATACTACCTAACAACTCAATGACGATAATTTAAAAGAATTTTTCTAAACCTAATAAGATTTGTCACAATTACTTAAAAAAACAAGAGATTTAATCAATACAAAACAATTATAGCATTAAAACCTAAAGCAGGAATTTACAAAAGACTAATTGCCAAAGTCAGGGATGGTGAAATAAAGGAATGTAGCCTGTCAAAAAATTTGTCATGGAAATAGCAAATAAATTTGTGAGAGTCTTGCAACATTTTATCTGTGGGGGAAAGGGATTGTAGGTTGGAAAATAATTCATCACCCACAAGGCTGTGTAAATTCTTTTAGTAGAAACAGGTTTGCCTATTCTTGCTTCACACTCCTTACCTGTCTTTTGGGCATAATAAAAAGTATCCAAATGTTGAACAATTTTTATCTTTATTTTCACCCAAAATTAAAGCAACTATATGAAGTTTAGAATGGCTCATGATCAAACATAATAGACATTTGTTGTCTGTTATATTTAATATATATATATATATATATATATATATATATATATATATATATATATATATACATTAAATTTTTTATGTATGTGAATACATCATTTGACAGTGGAAAAGATTTAATAATGACTGAGCTTTCTTTGTATATCTATGAACTTTAGAAATATTTTAATAAAAATATATTTTAATGTTTTGAAATTTCCTAACTCAAATGATACACATGTGAATCTGACTCTATACAACTATTAACTCAAAACACTTGTAGTGAGTTCAAAATAATGTAAACTTCTTTCTCCCACTTCCCTTCAAATTTAAAGGACTGAGGAAGAAGGAAAGAGATTTGTGAGACTATATGAGATTTTTGCTTTTCATAGAAATTAACCAGTGATTTGAGAAGATGGAAAGAAATTTGCAAAATTGTGTGAAAATTTTGGGACCAATGAAAACCTTACCTTCATGGAAATTAGCTGGTGAGCCAAGAAGGAAAGAAAGTAGCAAGCCTACACAAAATTCTTTTTAATATAAATTGAGGAGAAAAATTAAATTAATTACAAGAATGTCTGAAGTGATATGAAAAGCTTTATTTCAGTTCCTCGCTACCAGCATTTAAGTACTCCTCGGTCTAAAATTACTCACCAGTTATATTATCAGCCTCTATTCACCATACAGTACTTCAAAACATTTTCTCTCAACAATCCAAGGAAGCTAAGTATTTGAAACTATCTCTCTTTGTCTACTTTTGAATATGTGCAAACCATATTTCCTTCTGGCGAATAACCAACTCTCTTACTTTTATCTTGAACATTTTTTAATATTATTTTGTGTCAAATAATTTAATCTGTTGTATGAACATTTCCTCTTAATGACTATATTGAAACTAATTTATTTTCCTGAAAGAAGCTACTGACACTACTTCAAGCATGTAAATTTGTGAATAAATTCCTTATCTCGTTTTGTTAAAATTACCCATGTTGCCTCATCATGATAATCCTTCATTAATCTTCTTGATGTAAGTAAACATCAACTGTTTATTTTAGCCCCTAATCCCCATGCCATTATAGACTGTTTCAAAGTTTAATGGATTTTTGTAGCTTAAGTAAGTCTATTGCTCTCCCAACTGTCAATTGTACAAATCACAATATCGCTGGTTCAATTCACCGTCCTCGCTTTCTTCACACGTCACTACGTATAGCCAACGTTTCTGTCCCCTTTTTTTCGGCTTCAGCACTCTTTTATCAGGCCAACACCACAGTTCCCCAGCCAATCAGCGTTTAAACTCTGTTATTCTCGGTTACATAAATGGCAAAAAAAATATCCTCCAGTTCGACCAATCAGCACATGACTTGCTATTGGTGGAAGCATTCGAACTGTTTGTAAAAAACCCTCATCATTGCACATACTGCTAGAATGGCTGGACTGGAGTAATGCCATTTTCACGAAGCAAACTTGCTGATGTCACGTACGCACATTAAGGTAAGACCCCTATTTCCCTATACACCAGATGCAAGCCACTTTGGCTTGCTTGCTTGTATGGGGCTGTTCCCCACACCCCCCTCTGATCTCATGATCACAAAACATACAGTCGCAAGCAGGTCGTTTTTGCCGGGTACTTCGCCAAGGGAATGGAGCAACACAAGCTTCATCTTCAGATGAACTGTCATCAGGGGAGCTAGCAGGATGTACCACATTAGTATTTTGGACGCTAACAGTTGGGGAGTCGTCTTCCCCATTTGTGTCGTCTATAACAGATTCAGTATCAAGCGAGTGATCAGTTTCTCCTAACGGGGTTGATCTCAAATTTACTAACCACTCACTCTCTTCAGAATCGCTGTCCTGTGTATCCGTCGGGACCGATCACATAAAGTGACGCAAGTCCTTCACATGAGGTGGAACTCCATCAACGTGCACTGATTGTGGTCTATTATCCTGAGTCACATGACCCATTCTAAATTTAGTCGTGCACCTCCCATGTGGAGTTTTCACCCAAACAATGTCTCCCACTTCATATGCTCCTTGAATATTCTGCGATTCAATGGGGACATAGCCTCATTGCCCCATACACGTATGG